CAGGGTGACCATCCGGGAAGGAATCGCATCCCCACGCCGGGATGCGGGTCTGGGGAAGGGACCGCCACAAGTTCCCGAGCCTCTCCCCCCCACCCCACCCCACGGCGGGGCCGAGCTCCCTCCCGAGGCCTGGGGACTGCCCCGGGCCCCCCCTCCATCCCTCCCCAGCAGGGGATGGCATTCCCTCCCTGCCCTCCCCGACTCCTCTGCGGGGTGATTTTTAGCACCTCTTTCCCATCCTTCCTCCCCACTCGGGAAACAGAGGCACGCGTTTGAAAATAAACCGGTGAGTGAGCAGCCTTGCTCCGCTGCCAGCTGCTGCACCGCCTCGGCCTGCCTCCTCCTCCTCCTCCTCCTCCCCGGCACCCCGGGCAGCACCGCCTCAACTCCCAGGCCGGGGATTCACAGGCCGTGCCCACCCCTTCACCTCCCCCGCCGGCCCGAGGCCTCCGCGCTCCCCCGGGCCGGGCCGGCCCCCCCCCCCCCCGCTCTTACCCCCCACCCGGCGGGGCCTGCGCTCCGCCGTGCCCCGGCGAGGCGGGCACCCGCGGCCCAGGCCTCGCTCCCGCCGCCTCGGGGCACAGGCCTCGGGCCCTTCCGCCGTGACCCCAGCGGCGGGGAGTCTTTAAACAGCCTCCACCCTCCCACCCCCTCCCACCGCAGCCCGGGGTCGCTGCCCAGCTTCCCCCCCCCCCCCCTTCACCCCCCCCACGCCCGCCCCCACTGCCCCCTCGGGCCCGGCGCTGGGGAGGGAGGCGAGGGGGGTCCCCGCGCTTCCCCCCGCCGCCCCCGGGCTCTCTCACCTGGCGCTGCCGCCGCTGCTGCTCCTGCCGCCGCCCCGCCGCTCCTCTCCCCTCCTGCCCGGGCCGAGCGCTCCCCGGGCACCGCTCGGATCCCGCCGCCGCCGGGGGCAGGAGCAGGAGGAGGAGGAGGAGGAGGAGGGAGGGAGGGAACCTGCTGCGGCGGCGGCAGCGGCGGCACGGGCGGGAGGGGGGAGACCAGGGGCGGCTCCGCGGCCTCTCGTGAGCCAGGCGCCGCCGCCGCTGCGGGCACCCGGGCTCCGGGCGGGGGAGAAGGGCGGAGGGGAGGGGGGGGGGGGGGCGGCCGCAGCGGGGGGGGGGGTGTGGGGAGATGGGAAGATGGGGGCTCGCCCCTCGCCGACTCCGGGGCGGGGAAGGAGAGACGGGGCGGGCGTGGGGACAGCGAGAAGGGATGGCTAGGCCGCGGATCCCCGGCCTCGCGTAAGAAACCTCGCGCGGCCGGGGTGCGCGGAGGCGGGCGGCAGCCGCAAGGCCTCGCGGCAGGACAAAGGCCCGAGGGAGGGTTCGGCGGGCGGCAGCGCCCGGGCAGGTGGGGGGTGGGGGGACACGGGGCTGCGGGGACCCCTCGGCTTCCCAGGGGAAGGGGGGGGAGGTCGGGGGGGGGGGGGGGCCGGCGGGGCGCGGCGGGGCGCGGGCAGGTGCCGGGGCCGGTGCTCGCCCCCTCCCCGCGGCGCTGGGCCCGGCCCGGCCCGGCTCGATTGGTGCACACACACTAGTGAAAGCGCGCGGCGTCTCGCGAGATTTGCACGGCGGCGAGAGGGCGGGGGAGGGGCGGGGAGGGCAGGTCAGCGCGGGGGGGGGGGGCAAGGGGGGGGGGAGCAGGTCAACGGGGGGCGGGGCCTGGTGAGGGGCGGGGCCTGGTGAGGGGGCGGAGGGAAGGGCCGGGGTGAGGGGGGGCAGCAGGTACAAGGTGGGGGTCAGTAGGGCCGGGGGGGTCAGGGCAGGTCTGGGGTGTGCAGGGTGTCTGTGGGGGTCGGGGGGTGAGACAGCAGGTAAAAGGGGGGGGTCAGGGTGACTGTGGAGGTGGGGGGTGTAGCAGGTATAAGGGGGGGGGGTCAGGGCAGGTCTTGGGGGGCAGCAGGTAAAAGGGTGGGGGTCAGGATGTCTGTGGGAAAAGTTAAAAGGGGGAGGTTAGAGCAGGTCTGGGGGGGGGGTCAGGGCAGGTCTGTGGGGGTCGGCGGAGGGGCAGCAGGTACAAGGGGAGGGTCAGACCCAGCCTTGGGGTGTGGACAGGTCTGGGGGTCAGGGTGGGGGGTCTGCAAGCACAAGGTAGGGGTCAGGGCAGCCCTGGGGGGAATTTCCCCCTCAGGGCAGCAGAGGCTGGCCTGCCTTCCCCCCCCCCCCCCCCAAGGGTGTCCCCAGAGAGGGGGTGTCCATGCACCTCCCCCCCTCTCCAGTCTCCATCTTCCGCAGCCAGGAGCAACCTCGCTCCCCAAACCACCCTCACTCCCCCAAACCACCCTCATCTCCCCAAGGGTGGGGGCACCCCAGCACCCCCCAACACACTGTCACCCCATCCCTGCCCACCCCCTCACCCTGGGGACCCCAGCGAAGCCCCCCCCCCCCCCCCCCCCCCCCCAGGAATGGGCCCGGCCCCCCTCGCCCCCTCACTGGGGGCTGATCGAATATGTGTATCGCGTGTGAGACACAACCCTGGGCACCCCAGCAGCTCCCCGATAACCGTCTGTCCTCGCCTTTCTAAGGCTGGGCTGCTGCGACTCTCACAAAAAAAAAAAAAAAAGCCCCCCCCCCCCATTAAAATCATAAAATTAAAGGCTCATCCTGGCTGCAAACGAGCCATTACATCGCAGTTTATTCGCCTTTCTCCCAAGCAGCGGGGGCAGAATGCAAAACGCTGCTGCCGGGCGTTGCAACCCGCTCGGCTTTAAGGCTGAATCAGCTTTCTGAAAAGCAAACAAGCAGGGGAGGGGGGGGGGTGGGGGGTGAAAAAAAGGAAAAAAAAAAAAAAAAAAAAAGAAGGTTTGTTGGGAAAGGAAGTGGCCAGGCCTGTCCAAGGGGAGGCAGGCGCGGATTAGCGATGGGAGCGGAGGTTCCCGGAGCTCTGTAAAGGATTCGCCTTCCAAAACGCTGGGGCAGGGAAAACCGAGGGACGTCTGTCACCTCCGCTTACTGCATGTCCGACATCGAGCAATTTATGACCGAACTGGAACCTACCAGTTTGGCAAAAGCGATGATGTGGAGAAGAGCTGGCGGAGCATCGCGGAAAAACCGCTCTCGCAAGGCGATTGGGGGAAGTTGTATTATTTTAAAATTGCTAATTTATCGTACTTGAAGCCCGGCGTTATTTGTTAACTTGGTGTTGCAAATGGCTTTCGCAGCGCCTGCCTGTTCTCACAAGCTGTGTTTCCTGTGCTTTAATCTGTTTTTTTTTGGTAGAAGAGCCACTCCAGTTTCAGCTCCTGCTCTGTGAGTCACATTTTCAGCACGACCAGCGGCAGGAATTTGTAAAATAAATAAATAAATAGATTTTGGTGTGTGTGTGTTGTGTTGGAGGTTTTTTTTTTTAAAAAAAGGAAAAAAATTCTAGAGTAAATACTCCATCAGCTAGTAAACTAATCACAGCCATTTAGGGGAGCGCTAATTAGTACCATTTGCAGCTAACATTGTTCAGGGAGGTATAAATTTCATTTGTGCATTCCTGTTTGATTTTGGGTGGAGGGAGGAGAAGATACAGGAGCTGCTACACCCAATAAAGGGACTGACTTCCAGTACCCCTTGGCTCTTCTGGACCCCTGCCATCGCCTCCAGAAACGCCTCTGACTTTAAAGGGAGAAGTTCACCCTCTCCAAGTGCCAGACAGGCATCAGACGCTGTAACACCCAACCTATGGCACCATACCCCCATCTTTGTTTTTTAGGGGCAACAGGGGTCACTTTGATCTAATTTTCCCCGTGCTTTTCGGAGGGAACTTGCTGAGGCTCTTCCTCCTCTTCCACACATTGCCAGGGATCACATCGCCACCCATCTTTTCACGTAGGCTACCAGAAAAGACAACGGGGCTGTAATTTCCTAATGGTGTTTTGCTTCCTATCATTTCCACTGAAGTCAGACAGATCAACGACCCTGCTCTTCTCTTCTCCGGCAGGACCGGACACCCAGGGAGGTAAGAGCCTCCTGGAGAATTTACTGCAGACACAAATGTTTTCCAGAAGACATCTCGCCATGCACTGCCAAGCTACGGGCTTGATGTAGGACCCCTGGCTGCAGTCCTGGGCTCTGCTGGGTTCAGGCTGGAGCAGTGCCTGGTGACTTCTGATAATGAACCCGATAAGCTGAAGTTGCACCATCCTCCTCTCGTGACTTGCCTCTCTCCCTGCCCCATGTTCCTCTATGCTCGGCAAAATGGTTGGGGTTTCTCTTCTCACGTGTGATTTCAGGGATGGAGCACGTCCCTTTCAGCATGTTTTAGGGGGGCTTTGGGCAGACAGCCCTTGTGGCTTGCTGCCCAAGGGCTCCGCTAGCTCAGCTCTGCTCCTGGATTTTCAGCAAGCTGCGAGTGCTCACAAACCCCTTCCCTCTTACCCTTGGCTAGCCATACAGTCGCATCCTTCCCTACTCCTCTGCTTCAAACTCAACTACTGTCCTCTCCGCCCTCGTCATCCAAACAGCAGCTCAGAGCAAGACCTACAGCTGCAGTTTCCTTTCCAAGATGCCAAAATAGCAGCTCACACAGGAAGGGCACGGCAGCTCATCTTTGGTGCAGTGGTGGAAGGAATCAACAAGCTGCAACTGTATTTCTGTCCATAAGCAGAAATTGTGGAGCAGCTTTAAGGGTACCACTTGCTGTCAGCAGAGTGCCAGTTGGGTACAAGGGGATTTTAGACAAGTTCATCAGATAGCCTCAGGAGGAAGTAAGTTACTGGATAGATTTCCCAGTGCAGACAACCCTAGAGTCAGTGATCTCAGAGGTTTTTCCTCCTACACTCCACGGCTTTGAGCAGGGATGCACCATCCATCCCAGCCTGGTACAACACTTCTTACTGTGCCGGTGCATCTGAGACTGGGGTCTCTGTAACAACAATGGTCTCTAAGGTAAAAATGTATTTATCAGGGGTAAGACACAGCACATGGGGACTCTTTGTTATGGTGCTGTCTCCCTGTGGGAGCTAATCCCCCAGGTTTGGATTGAGCAGAGAAGTGGTGGACTCTTGGTTTTGGTTTTTTTTTTTTTTGTTTTTTTTAATTTTATTTCTGTTTTCTAAACAAGAAAAGCCAAGTTATTAGAATGTGCTCCTGGCAAGAAAAGGTCAGTTTGTGACTTTCTGTTTTTAAAGGGAAAGGTTTTCCAATTCAGAGTGGCTGGAATATGTAAATGTTGAATCATTTTGTATAGGAAATTTTTTGAATCGATTGAAAATTCTAATGCCAGCTTTTAAGATACTACTTCTAAAAGCCTATAGAACATCAAAACTAAAACAATGCTTAAGGTTAGGAAGCAAAATTTCTGTCTATCTCAACTTGATTTTCCCCATAGTATTTCAGTTTGTGAACAGTTTCAATGTGCTTGACTTTCTGGCTGAGCAAGAGAAGAGAATAGTTGGATCACCAAGAATTCTCATGCAGGAAAACTCCTCCTCTTCCAGCCCACACTTGAGTGACACACGAAAACTATTCTGTTTTCCCCCTTTTTCATCAACTTTGTAAGAGCCTCTGAGCTCTGGTGCTTTTAGAGAAGCTGGTGTGAGAGCTGGCAATGGGATGGTTACAAGCAACATAGTACGCACATTGCTGACCAAGTATTATCTCATACATGGGGGCAAGCCAGCTCTCCTACACCATCGTCCCTGCCAGATTCCTCCCGTACGGCATCCTGCTCTCCAGGTCTGCCATCAGCTAGTGTTAATGCTTTCTATTACATCCCCCGTGGCAGCTCTCATCTTCTTGCTTTGGTCTCCTTGGATGTCAGCAATATCCTTGGCACACTGCACTTGTATCATGTTTTGAAGAACTACTCAGCTGCCGCAGCCATTTTCTTTGTCACTGAATTCGACTGGAGCAGTTTCCGAGAGCTCCCCTCCAGCCAGCACGGCATGCGTAGCAAAAGCAGGGCAAACCCTTGCCTTTGCATCACAGCTTCACTGTTAACCCACGTTAGATTCCACCAAAATCTAGTAAGATGTGATAGATATTTCAACATAGCATGCACAAGTAAAATACCAGAAGTCAAGCTCCTGATCTTTTCAGTGTGGTTTTGGTGACTTTCCTTTGCCTCTACTTTCCAGGTTTGTGAAATACCCTAACTGCATTTTTCCTCGCATTTCTGTACTACCATGAGGTCTAGAAATGTAATGGCATAATGTCACACATACAGAAAGAAGAGAGCCGAGATTCCTCAGTGATAGCAGGATGCTAGGAGCTGGGGACTTGAGAAGAGCATCAAATAGCCTCAGCCTTTAAACCATAAAAGCTGGCACCAGTGATCTCAAATCCAAAAATTTTACAGCCATTGAGAACCACCCCCCACGCCCACAAGAGTTCAGCACTCAACAGATTTCTTAAGGTTTTAGCACTGAGGGATAATCTCACCTCTAGGCATCACATCCAGAAGAGACCAACCCCTGTCTGCAGAGCAGATTCTGTCGCACCTAACGAGCCAGGAGTTGCAAATGAACATTTTTCTAGACCTGGGGCATTCAAAACATCTCACCCCAGTGTCGATTCTCGCACATCTAGTAAGGTTAGGGCTCCGAGCACAGCCTTTCCCTCACTAGGAACATTAAAAGGGTCTTTCCTCATTTTCATTAGACAGGGAGAAAGTTAGTATCTCAGCTATTCCGAGATAACATGCCATCACCTGACTCCTTCCTGAGGCCATTCGGAGAGCCTCCACCCTCCCACACAATGGAGTTTATCTCACAGGTTGTTCCTGCCCCTCCCTCTGTCTACACCTTCAGGTATCCCATTAGGAGGGAGGGTTTGATACCCAAACCCAGTAGGAAAGCATCCAGGTTCCTCAACCTCCACACAAGCAGGAAGCCAAGCGGTGCCCTGATCCAAGGGAGCACGTGTCCTGCCTGCCCGAGGAGGCAGCCCCCACCGCGGGTGGGCACCTGGACCTGCGCAACCGCCACCAAAACTCGCAGGTAGGAAAGGAACACCTCTGCGATCGCCTCTGCTTTCCCCAAAGCACATGGCACTAGCAAGGATCCACTGGTTTTAGTTCGGCACGCACCTGAAATGATGTGATTCTCCTTTATGTGCCAGCAAGTCCTTCCCTGTCCTCACTCACTACCAGCTTCCTGGAATACAAGAGGGTATTATTCTCAGCAGGATTTGCCCCCCGCTTCTCTTCCTCCTGCATAAAACAGGCATAATAACACCCTACCTTGCAGGGCTTTTGAAAGCCTCAATTAAACGAACTGCTCTGAGATTTGTGTAAGAGGAAAATTAAATCAACATCCTATTGTAAAGCTAGTTACTGCATGCATATTTCTGTAAGTATATTCAGCCTCTCTGTGAATGTCTGTAAATACATACCAACCTTCATAACAAGCTCGTCTCAGTAGGGAAGAAGTCACTTGAAGTTGAGGAAAAGCCAGATTTAGTTTTCCATGCAACCTCGATCAACCTCTTCACATCCACCCTTGGCATCAAGTGTGGAAAAAAAATGTGTGGCTGTGTAATTAAAGACTGTAGCATAGTATACCTGCCTAGGTGGTGCTCCCCAGATGACGGGGACCCAGCACCATGCCTCGTGCTTGGTCCCATGCATGAAGAAGTCATCTAAGGGGAGATCAGCCAGTTTTCTCTCTAAATAAGGAAAGCCATATCCATTGCTCCTGGAGAAGGGTGGCAGGGTACCTCTCCACTTACAGCTGCAGATCCCCCGGTGTTCCTCACTCACACCACAGAGGTGTGCACAACTTGGGACTGTAAACAGCAACTTCCCATTTCACATGAGCTGAAAGAAAGGTTCATAGGCCAAAGGATCGGCCACAATCCCCCAGGACTCCCCAGCCCGCAAATAACATGAAAATGGAAGTTACAAGGGTCCTTTGGACTACAAAACATGAAAACCACCTGAATACAGCAGTCAGGCTTGCACTCCACCCCCAAATCAAGCTGTTTTTCATAGGCTGTGTTGGTGCTTGCAGTGACACCTCTCTGGGGTTATTCAGTACCAGGGAGCAGTTTAGAGCAGCAGGGCCCAAACCTCACCAGGACGTTCCTCCTTCCTGGAGACAGCCATGGACCGACACACTGGGCGCTTCAGGCAGGTGCAGACACGTTAGACTTGCTAGTGATCTTTGCCATCGATGCTTTCCAACCACAGTTCCCACTCATCCAACTGTGGGTCAAAGCCTGTATTTTCAAGAGTGAAAGCCTTCACTGGCATGACACCTCCTGTCATACCACACAGCCTTTGGGCAGGAGATAAAAGCAGAGGCACACATGGCTAAGATTCTCTTGTTTCTCTGCCTGTGTTCCAGCCAAGTTGCCAGGTCTGTCTTGTGCTCTCCATAACAAAGGTAGCTGTATCCTATTTAGTTCAGATTAGCCCTCACGGTTGCCTACATAGGTAATTTCCTGCACTGTGTCCCACTTTCTTGGCAATACAAGCTCCCATTCAGCAGGGCACTTATGCACAGGAACTTACTGCCTACAGCAAGAGCTAAGCACAAACTCCAGAGCTTTGATGATTAAGCACGGAGCTGACAAGTCCCTTCCCTCTAGAGCACCTCGCTTTGCAGGGGAATCCTCCAAAAAATCCCTCCCTCCTCTTTGCTTTTCTAGTAATTTCTATCTTGCCCTGAAAACATATATTTAAACACTGTTAGAATCAGAATCCCATGGACACTGTACAAAATTATGCGTGCCAAGCACACACCCCTGTCAAAGTAGATGAATAGCTATAATAGCAAAAGTGATCCTGATCATACATCTTCTCTAATTCTCCTAATTTTCCCCAATATGGCACCAAACCAAAAGTGGTGGCACTGCTCTGATTGACAAACCAGACCCACTTGACTGATCAGAAGAATAAAGACGACTGCATGACTCGGTTTCCCTTCACCTGTCTTTTCAGAGATGGAAGGATGCTCCCCGAATCCCTTAACTTGATCCCTGCGGCCTCACCTGTGCCCTCATTCCTAGGCACTGAAACTTGTGCATCTTACATTTGTGCTCAGGAAGAACAGTTAAGTTCAGTCTGGGACTGTGATTCCTGTAGGGATTCCAACTGGGGACCAGTTGGGGCTCATCCCAATGCCAACAACAAAAGGAAGCTCTTCCAGCTTTAGTTACGATGTAATGCCAAAAGCCGCTGGCACACATACACAGAGGTTCCTTCTGCTCACACCTCTGTTTTATTGAAAATAATCAGGTCTCATTTATTCTGGAGCTCTACAACTAACTACAGAATTAGAAATGGTGGTGACATACCCTACCCTGAGAAGGTGGAGCTGAAGTATCTGGGAGAGAAGACAATTGTGTCTGGTCTCACATGCTTCTGATCAGCACATTGTAACAATAAAAATCACTAAGGATGTTTCCCACTTTCCTGTCAGAAAGATCCTGAGAAAACTCCAATTTTCAGTGGAATTTACAATGTATTTATTTTTGAAGTGATGGTATCCAAAATACTCCTCAGCCTCTTGTTCTCTTTACCTCTCCTGTTCCCTTCCTGCCTCCCAGTTTCTAGCCAATCTGTGAAACCAGGACGCCATGAGAGGAACAATTTACCGGGGGAGCCAAAGGGTTCTTTGCCACTCTCTGGAGCCCTCAGCACCATGGCTGGATTGAAAGCCTTTCTGAAGGACTAGTTCTGGCTCAGCCCAAGTCACAGGCTTGATGGTATAATCCCTACATGAAAGGGTTATTGAAAGGGTCAGAATAGGCGATGATAAAGTTCCCTTCCAGCCAAAACAATCTACGAACCTCCAAGGAAATCTACCATCCTCTGGCAAGAGTCAGGACCAGACTTTCCGAAGTGTAACAATGTCTGGCTCCAGAATTGCAGGGGCAGTGCCTCCGAAGGGCTATGAAATCAACTCTTCTGCTTGGGAGGTTTGACAAGCTACGTTGGCATTGCCTGTAAGCCACAGACCACAAGACTGGAATGCTGGGAACACCACCAGAGCAGACACATTCAGAACGGCTTTAAAGCTGATGTTACACTGCTAAAAAAGGAAGAGAAAAAAAAAAAAAAGAAAAAACAAACACATTTAACCTGGCTTTTCAATATAGTAAAAGTCAATTTGGAGATTTCCTTTGAACATGCTAGAAAGCCATTGTGCAACCCAGCCTGCTCAGCAGGCCCGAGGTGGGAATGGCAGAAGGTGCTGCAAGTCAGGAGCAAGGTACCTGAGCAGAGCTGTGTGGGAGGCAAGGCCTGGAGTCGCAGGAGAGCAGCAGCTTCAGAGAGAACGGGAGCTGGTGGAGATTAATGAAGGAAGCTCAGACAGTATCTGTCTGTAGGAGGCCTGGCTCAATTCAAGGCCATTAACTTGTTGCTTTTTGAACACCACCAACAGGACTGGAAGCAAAAGCATGTCTGCCCAGCATGGTTCACGTTGAGTGATTGCTTAAATACTCCAGCAGAATGAAGAGCATTAAGAAAGGCAAAGAGCCACTTCAATGGCTTCAGGCTCACAGGGCTGCAAGTTTTTGCATGAAGCCCAAGTCAAAACCAGGCAAGCAGCTGGGATGTAGCCTTGAAAGTAGAAACAAATAAATTACCAGCATTCATTTTCTCCCATTCAGGAGTTTAAATTTAAAGGGGAGTCCATCAACTTTAAATAAATCATGCTTATAATTAAAAACATATTTTCCTGTGCTGCTTACAAGCCTTTGGATGATTAATAAGGCATTTTTCGAATTACTTTAATTCACGCTAATTATGCTGCTTGTTTACCCCAGTCAATGATTTTTCTTCCAGGGAGATAAAGCTATCCCAGGAGGAGGTCTGCCTCTGGGGATCAAGAAGGAAGGACTCCAGGGAACTGCTTGAGGCACCACTAACACATGGAAGGTCTTTCACTGAAAAAAACAGAGCTGGTTACATGAGTCACACCACGTCAAATACTCACAGGACTTCTTTTGCTAAGCCTGACTCTTTGCTCGGATAAGATGAGGAGACATGAGCTTGCTCAGCTCCCAATGGCCTTGAGCTGTGTTTTGCCTAGACCTTGCCTGAGGTACCAACCTTGCCAGGGAACCAGATTTTGTAGGTTTAGCATGAAAACACAGCAGTGACTGCACAGCTGCTGGGTTGGGTCAGGCTTGTGCCCAGCAGAAGCCAAATGTGCTTAGAGAGAAAGAAGCCTCATCTCCTCCTATTTCATTTGCAGACACTCAAAAGTCTCTTAGCCCTTTAGAAAAATATAGTGCAACAAGCTGAACAAGAATTCACTTACCAGTTACATGATTCCCTTTCAACATTATTTAAAAGAGGGAGATATTAAAAAAAAAAAAAGCAATGGTGCATTTCCATTCCCATCCCAGCACTGCAGCCTGCCTTCGGGGTGTGAATGGATTTGCTGGGTGAGTCTTCCACGGGAAGGGCTGAAATGCCCTCACCCCCTGACCCAGAAGCCTTTGGGTTGCAGACATTCTAATACCTGCAGGGTGACACAGCCCTGTGGAAGTTATGAACTGATGATGCTCCCACATGCCCAGGAGGACTATTGCTACAGCCCCTTCCAATGCTTTACAAATCAGGGTGCTCCTGGTTTGACTCCCCAGGACTACTGCAGACTCTCCAGATATAGCAATGACATTTCCTCATCTTTTTACCCTTTCTCCTCTGTTTCGAGACAGCAGTTATTTCATAACCTACGTGTCTCTATCGTTGACTGTTACTCTTAGGCAACTGTAAGCTACAAATACAAGTGTCTAGCTAACAAAATATACATGCCTTGTGTAGCATGAACTGCTCTTCATCCAGCAGTTCACACACAATAGACCTTGTTGCTTCATGAACTAAAACAAGGTAGGAGATATCAGCCAAGGCTTTCCCTTCTTGGGAGATGAGAGCAGGCACTAGTGAGACTCATGGTAACAGAAGAGGAAAAAAAACTGTAGTTACTTAATGGTGGCCCAGATCCTTCAGATCAGATGCGCAGAAGCATGTGAGTTTCTGTGGAAGTCTGATTTATATTAATCAAACCAGCACTGAAAAGCATTACCACAAAATTTATTCTAATACCTGTTGTACCACACCCTAAAAATAACAAAAGAAAACAAGCTGAGATAAAAGACATTTGCTGTCAAAGGTGGGGAAATACCTTTAGAAAGCCACAATGTTGGCTTCCTCTAAGAAATTAAACAAGAGCAGTAGACATTCTTCAGATTTCTTATCAAAGACGGGTGTCTTATCTACTTGGGTTTAGCACACCACCATGACAGGGCAGTGCAGTTCATAACCTGGGGGCTGCAGCCAGCAAGAAGAGTTTCTCACTGTTAAAGCAGAAAAAGCAGATAATTCCATGTAAACCCTGGTCCCATGAGCTGCTTGTGATAATCTGCACTCTGGAGGTGTCCCAAAAATGTCACCAGTCCCAAATCTTTGAAAACCCGATCCCTGCCTGATACGAATTTGTAGCACCTGAGCTGTTGTGTGCTAGCTCCCTGGATTAACATCCTTGTGGACGGTGAGGTCAAAGCAGCATAATCTGCTTTCTGCACAGGTTATCTGCACACCATGAGACATCCATGGGGAAGCTGGCACAGAGAAACTAGTATGCTCTCAGTTCCTGCCCTCAATCAACGTATATGAACATGTGCAGATTTATCCATTGCAAGGTTTCTGTTCCCAAAACAAGAGTACGCAACACAGTGGCAAGGTCGAAGCTCCCCTGTTACATGTGGAACTCCGGAGTAAGTGACTCACTACTCAACTTGCTCAGCTGCTGTAAGACAGCATGACCATTTCTTAAGTTGTTAAAACCATAAATAATTTTAAAAACTCAGACCAGTAGCAAGACATCTCACAGACTGCTTGGTCTCCTCTTAGAGCGTTCGTCCTTAGCAAAACTCACTTGAAGTGATGCCAGGCACTATAAAAGGCACTGAGGTCCTGTGTGGGCAGAACTCCATAAAACCACATCTCACCAGGAGAAGACACTGCATGTGGCCATGAAGAGGCTTCCACCTAAAAAGCATGCCCTGTTTCCTCACAGCTGAGCGGCGGCACGCTTGCGGTACTTGCACTGGATCCATACTCGATACATCGTCATTTGTTTCCCACGGTTCACTTGCAATCGCCGGTCAACCAGATTCTGGATTTTCTCCAGGCCAGCTGTTGTGAAGAGACCGTCTAATTCATCTGGAAGCAAAAAGAAAAGAGACTGAGGATGCCATAGCTTTCATTTAACTAATACCTGCTGAGACCAAGGGCTAAACTATGTTGAAAGATGGGCCAGAGGAGACTTATGGTCCCACTCTGGCAGGAAAATGTAAAGATCAGACAGGACTTAACTACAGCACCATGGGGGGATTAAGATCACGGTTTCTCTAGTTTCCCTTGAGTTTCCCTTCTACCAAGGAAGGAAATAATTATTTGGAGGACAACCAGAATTACAGAGACTTGACAAAGAGAAAACAGCCACAGTTTCAGACATGGGTATCGCCTCTAGGAACTGATCAAGGGAGCATCTTCCAGCGAGTAGGGACAGATACATTCCTTCCCCCTCCCCCTTCTCTCCAGAGGAATTTCAGAGTCTGCAAGAGCAAAGAACGGGATCAGAGCTATGCTTTTAAATGGTGGCAGTAAGATCTGTGCTGTACAGGCTGGAGGGAAACTGGATTCATTACAGTTAAGTTTGAGAAAAAAATCCTTTAAAAACCACACCCTGTTGGGGCCCAATCAAAGCACTCAGAGCCCTCAGGCTGCACCACTTACACTGGCAGGTATTCCTGACCAAGCAAATAAGTATCATAGTGCCCCAGCACACTGGCCGTGGGCAAAGCCAGACCCAGTCCTGCTGAGCAGCAGGGAGCTTGTTCAACTGCAGCCTGGGAGCACGTGATTTGTATGGAGCTTCTGTAGAAAAGGGCTAACAGGTCCCAGCTTGTGCTCTTTTATCAGATGCTTGCCATCGTGAAGCGTTTGCCAAACACGCATTAAACATTAATTTTGTTGTGACAAACAAGACTTGTGCAGTGGGGAAGGGAATAGCTCACTGCAGTTGTGCCACTGCTCTAAAACTGACCATGCAGAGAGGCCCATGGTAGAAGTGTCTGAAGGTGCAATTGGTGATAAACAGGAACAATACAATCCCTGCTGAACATCAAGCAGCAGCAGAACTGGAGTGGCTGCCTCAGCTCTATGCAGAACCACACCCTTCTTATTTCCTTGTAGGAGAACAGTGAAGCTAAGAGAAGTTCCTTCAAGTGGTGTCCATCTCACTCCATCCTCTGCAGGCAACAAAATTCGAGAGCCCCTCCCAGTGTAGCAAACACACTATTCTTTCTCTAAAAGGATTTGCCACTAAGGAGGTCATCATGCCATATTCACATCAGCAAGTGATAAGCCCAAGTCCCTGTGCAACTGGAAGACACTTAACATTTCACACTGCTTCAAGAAAGACAGGCTGGAAAGAGCTAGTGGTAAAACTTGAGGGCACAGGGACAAAAAGAGGAGAGTCATAGGGATGTTTTCTAGACTCCTACCTTGTGTGAAGAAGTAGACTCTGGTGCCATCACCTCTCACATAGAAGTTATCAGACAGACATTGACCTAAAGGCAAGAGCGATTTAAACAGTTACCAGCTATCATTTAAAAATCAACAACTGCTATCCAACAAGAGGCACTTCTCTCAGCACACACTGTGCTTAAGGGGAATTAATGAGCAGCCTCTAAACAGGGTAGACTACTCCAGAAAAGCATCATCTATTAGTGATCTGGCAAGACTCTCCAGGGGAAAAGAAAATACCTTTCTTAAACCGAAGCTGGGCCAGATCATAACGGCCATAATCTCGTAACAAAATCATTCCTCCTGGTTTCAGAAGGCGACTTAGTCTGTTAATGATGCATTGCATTCTGAGGAAAGAACAAAACAGAAGTATTCATCATTCTGCAAAATTATGCTTGTTTCCTTAGCCTACTTACAAAAAGAAGTTTTACATGCTTCAACTTCATCTAAAGAGCTACCAAAATCTAGCACTCTTCCGAGCTCTCTCAGACTTAGGTGGGTTGATTTTATTTGGCCGCTTTATTTCCGACACTCCCCAATTCTGCTTTTTTTCCTACAATGACAACTTAGCCTGCCACAGCAGGGATTAACTGCTCTCTCTTACTAATTACAAAAATATTTCCACTGGTTTCTGTAAAACAAGTAAATAAGTGAACTGGAAGAAAAATGCTGTGAAATAAAACCAAAAGGGAACAAAAAAGAGAGACAACTGTAGGTTGTAACACACTGTCACACTAAGATCCCAGCACTTAACTGTTTTCTGAATCTATCCCCTCCCTTCTTGCTGCCTCCCATACAAGAAGTTCATCTAGCCTTTGAGCCTTAAAATCTAGCAGCATACTTTCCACAAATGGGTGCTGAGTGCTCAGTGTGGCTGGGGTTCAGAACAGGTGAGCAACTGTGACTGTGGGAAGACATCATCTATAGCCACTTAGCACTTCAGTAACACACCTATCCTACGCCAGAATTTGTTACTACAGAAAATACCTCAAATTTCATTTTCAGAGGCTTAATGGAAAACTGGACCAGACACCGAACAAACTAATTTTCCTTGATATGAAGGGATAGACTATTAAAGAACTCCAGCTCTATATACATTATCTTCTGCAGCCAGAAGGAATTATTAAAACTTACTTCTCTGGGAGAATTGCTGAGAGGACAAAGATAAGAATAACCACGTCAAGACTCTCGTCTGGCATTGGGAAAGGACTTTGGTCATTACACAGGTCATGGACAAACGCAAAGCAGCGAGAAGAATCATATTCTGCATTGTTCTATATTTAAGAGGAGAGAAATTAGAGCATTAGCAGCAGATCTTGATCTCAGTATTATCTGGACATAGGAGGATCTTAACTTTCACATAACGAAGTGGTGTGTCCAGAGATCTGTTTCAGCCTCACTGGTCTAAGGAGATGGGGTCAGATAGGATCCCTGGTCAAACAAGAAACAGGGGTGAAATGTGAAGAATAAGTACACATGGGAGATTTACAAAGGGTTTTGGACTTGTTATATTCAGACAATCAACACTGCCAAAACCCCAAAGCTGGATTGAGGAATTGCTGCAATTTTAAGGTCAGATTTTCCACTAATAGTGTCAAAAAGTGAGGGATTTACACTGTTAAACTGGAAATCTCCACCGAAGTGAGAGTGTCAGGGCCCCTCTCTCTGCATCACTGAAATCAATATTCATTTCAGCTACAAGCAAACTACTCTCTATACCCCCAAAATCAAACCTGGATGCCTAAAGTTATGCTCTTAAAAAAATCACATTTAGACTTCTAAAAGAAGTTGTATATTTTACTAAAGCTGCTGCTAAGGATTGCAGTGGCCTCTATAAACAGTGCTTATGACCCCTTAAGAGGGTGAAATGGCATGCTGCTGCTCCTGCACTCCCCATCTCATCTTATGAGGTGACTGATTACATTTGATACTTCATATATTCTTAGTTCTGTTCTGACTTGAACTTTGTTAGCAGTATTTGTCCTTCGACTAAATTCCAGCCTACTGCTCCACAGACAACTGTATCCCTCCTCAGCTGTCTGTGCAGAAGCAATCAGACCTTGTTCCCAGAACTGCAATGACAGTAACGCACATACAAACCAAAACCAGCTTCAGTTCTTGTTAAAGAATAGCCTGAATGTCTTCAGGGTTCAGCAGTTACTCAGCTAAAAGAGCAATGGATTTAGAAAAGTACTGCCAATCACAGGGGCAAGAAAATCTGGCTGACTTGTCTGCTGCCAATGTGACATTCTGAGAACTCCAACTTCCCTCATTTCTACAATCTCTGATGGCTCGTTTTACCTGATTTACCAGTTCAAGGTTCAGCATCAGGGCCAGCTAAAAAAATAAAGCTTCCAACACAGCTAGACAGCCAGTGGCAGATGTGATATATTTATGTTAATGTGCAATTGGCACCGTGTACTTCCTACCTTTGTAAGTCACCACTGAGTTTACCTGGACAAGATCCACAGCTGTTGTAGAAAAATCACAGCAATAAACAAAAAGGCCTGGATCACTGAAATAAATAAAAGAAACTATCATCATTCATGTAAAGATGCTCCACAGGAATTAGTAAGTGTCTCAAACACAAAGAGCACAGAATTGGGAGCCAGAAATCCTGGGCTTTAGTCTATCTCTGTCAATAATGCCTTGTGCAAACTCTGGTAGATCACATTGTTCCTTTATGCCTCAGTTATTCTCATATGGAACTAACTACTTACTTTTCCTTCCAGAATAGGAGAAACATTAAGGCCTGTGTGACAATGCTTTCAGCATGAGACATGTAAACTCACATCATGTTTCATGGGTTGCACTTTAAGACCAAGTATTTCCAAGCTCAAAACACAATCATCTGAAGTTGCAGATGACAAAGGTACCATTTGTGCCTGGCCTTCCTCTGAGATTGTCTAAACTAAGAACACATGAAACTCTTCCAGTTTTTTTTCAGAGGCTGGTATATCATGCAGGTAAAAACCTACTCAGAACTACTTACTTGTTGGTTTGTAAAATTGGGAAGACTGTATTTCCAGCACCACAGCCAACCTGCACAGACAAAATAGATGTACACATAGTGAAAATAATTTCTTCAGCATGTCCCATGCAGTTAATTTCAAATTATCTCTCTACAGCCATGAAACAAAAAACAACTTGTGAGTAACAACTGAGCCTAGCAGTGGCCATTTGCAAATCTCACTGCAAGATCTGAATGTGTTCAGCTCTGAGGAACGGGCTTACATATAAGTATTTGTGGGAAACCACTAAACCAGTTCTTGTAGAAATCTTACTAACAAGCTATATATTGTTACTCTTTTGAAAACTGTTATTGCTGGAATCCCAAGCATAACAACCAGTATGAGTCACTGAAGCATTGGCAAAGGCCATGGATTATCTGCATTCACTTCCATAGAAAATCAGAGCAATGGAGAAAGAGGTTTGCTTTACTATAATTACATCCTGCTGTTTCAGAGTTTCCTTCACTAGATGGCTCTTCCTCAAGTTACAGCTAGGCCTACAATGATTCTAACTTATTATACCTTCTACTTGTTCCCATTTGAAGAGAAAATGGCTTACACAACTGGGTTTCGGGAATTTGCCTCTCAATGTTTAAGGAATCAGTAAAATTAAATAGTGTGAGCAAAAACCACCACTGATGACTTACAGTGACAGATATTACTGAAAGTAATCAGGTGAAATAGGAAAGCCACAATGACCCAATAACATCAAAGTCTGAGGAAGTCTCAAAGCCTCCGATTATAGAAAAAAATCCAAAGGACAGCTCATATGGACTCTCCCTGGAAGGGCAGAACTTCCATAGAAGATGAAGCATTTGGCAAAACCAGCGATATCTACAGTGAGCAAACTAGAGGCAGCAGAGCAAAAGGTCATTACCAGCCATCAGGAGTCTAATATTAGAAGTTCTACAGACAAACCCTGTATCAGTCTGAGATTCCCCATTATTACATGAGCCATAAGGAACAAACCAAACAGCATCTTTACATTCTTGGTTTCATTGTTTTGTTTCAGAACTCCGAAGGCAAACGTGGTTCAGCACAAACATGCAAAACATAAATGACAAGAGAAAGCTTTATACAGGCAAGTAAAATAATCAGCTTCTTCAAAAGATTACTTTTAAATGCTTGTTTCAACATCTGATAGTAATAGCTTGTCTTTTAAAGTCAGAAACTTCTTATAGCCCTTGTGCTCTGCCAATTCACAGTCTGAACCAAAAGAATCTCAACAGATTTAATTCAGTTCTAAGCTGCCCTCTGTTTTTTGTATTTTACTCACTTAAGGCAATCACCCCATTCACTTGCTGCTTGCCAATGATATATATTTTTATGTCCCAGTCACACTAACACTGATATAAGGGACCATTTGATGTGTGGCACACTGTTTTACAGTTATTACCTCTAATACACGGTAAGACGCCGATGATCCTGGGTAAACTCCATCACTCTGATTCAGCTCACTATAATTCTGTGTAGCCAACTCCTCTGTGCTTTTTCTCAGGTTTAACTGATTCTCCACCCTGGTTTCTAATGAACAATGTCCATTTTCACAGATTCCCAGCTGTTCATTGTTGCATTCTTCTTTGTTACTAAATTCATGCACAGAATCCCCATTTTGACTTGGGTTCCTGTTAGGTGCAAGCTCAGGAAATTCAGTGAACAGCCAGTGCCTGTCCTTGAAGAAGCCATTTTCGTGGATTTTATAAAAGTCATCCCAGTACCTCTTAGCATTCACCTCATATTCCTCTGTGAACACAAACAGAAACGTCACCAGCAGTCAAATCAGTAGGTCTCAATCAGTTCAGACTGTGAAGGATCACTGCAGACATCTATTCATCAATCTTCTTTAATAAGTAAGGTTATTGATTGAAAATCACCTTTATCTAAATTGTGCCACCCCACATAAACACTCAGCCTGCCTCCCACAGTCACTTTGTTAGGACTAAAATAGGGAAAAGAGATAGAAGAGGAAACTGTCTATCTCCTGGTAGGATTTAAAGGAAGCTGGCAACAGAAAAGGCCTCTTTGAAGGAGACTGGAATGAAGAAATCCAGGTTTTACTTCCATCTCTAACACTAACTTGTTCAGTTCACTGGAACAATTCATTTGGAGCCTCATGACACTAAGTGTCAAGCACTTACAACTTCTAAGGAATTCTGTGACAGCTGCCTGGAGCTGAAGAGCTCCCGTCCAACACACTACCCCTTTTTTCAGATGAAGAAGCAGAAAAATTAGTCAACTATACAGGCCTGGCAGAAAGCTCAATTAGCATTTGCGCAACACTCCAAGATTACAGGACAGCATGTTCCTCACAAGTATTGCTAGGGTCTGGTCTACAGCACATTGTTTTCCATAGTTCTGTGCATGTTAGAGCATCAGACGTTTATGAAATTAAAACAAGAGAGGGTAATCAACAGAAGTGACCACTGTCATTAAAGTAATAGATGGATAGGTGGATAGATAAAAGATGGTAAGAATTAACTTCAGCAGCAAACATTATTATTTTCACACCAAGCGGGTACATTCCAGTAGCAAGATGAGTATTACAGAAGCCTGGAAGAACTCTTACAAAAAAGTCATGATCTAATAAAATTTGAGTCACCCACAAAATTATTTCCACACACCTTCACAGATTTCTGATCAAGTACAGTTTTATGGGAACTATTTTTTCCATGAGAAGTTATGAATCCGACTGGCTTCCTGAATTCTCACCAATGTGATGAGTTCTCTGTCCTGGGAAATAAGAGCTAATTATAGCATTCTATGCTTGTAATCACCTAAAGCCACTAACATCCACGGCCAGAGATCCCAACTGCATTTCAATAACATGCAACACCTTAGCCATCTTTGCACAGCAACAAGTGCATTACTGAATGCAAATGATTCTTCCCCGATAAAGATGACAGCTGTATGTGAAAATGCATAACCTTTCTCCAACATCTAGTAAGAGTAGGGTTAAGAGAAAAAGCAGGCATCTTAAAATTGAAGATTAGTATTATTACCTGAGCTGCAGTTTATTAGTCTTTCTGAAAAGCACAGAAGTGTTTAGAAGATATCTGGAGACAGTAAAATGACCCAAGAACACCTGGAAAAATATGTAGCCTCAGCCAAATATAGACAAAAATGGCTTTAACAAAGAACCAGAAGTCGGTCATATGTATATTTTTAGTAGGATCTATCCCTGAAGCACAAAGAGCTATATATAAAAATAATCTCTTCACCTCAACTACAAGGATTTTCTCCTTTTAAAAAGCCTCGTCCTTAAACCCCAAGCCAAAAGAAATTTTAATGTCTGATATTAGACTAGAACAGTAAGTTTGTGCCATGATCTTACTGTAGCTCAAAGTAAGCAGGGTCAAGTCAGTTTACTATTTGCATAGGAGAACTCGGTGACTGCTAATGTCAGAGGAAGAAGTGTTATTGATTCATACCCTGGCGCACTCCTTCCTGAATTGTCACTTTTTCCGTGTATGAGCAGGAATATGCAAGGCTGCTGGGGCTGGAAATGCTTTTTTACCTAACAAAAATATGAAGTCCTGATTCTTGCTAGTCCCTAACAATCCCATGACAGCTTGACTGCAATGGGATGCTTACCTGAGGTGCTGGGGCAAAATTCCAGCCCAGCCATTTTGGATTACCCACATTTTTGCCACAGTATATTGCTGAACAAGACATTGTGCTCTTCCTGTGTTAAATTATTGTGAAAGTCTGTTGGATGCTATTGAACAGCTGTTATACTCCAACTCACATGTGTGGAAGATTTAAAGCTCATTTACCTCATAGCCCAGTGTTTTCAAAGCACTGGAATAAAGGATCAATAACAATATAAATGCAAGAAATCAAGGGCCAGATGACAAAGATCATGCAAGAAACAGCTTTAAAGCAAAAAAATGACCATATTAATTTTTCAGTCTCACTTCCTGTACAATTTACGCCAGAAAAGTTCACCTAATACTTGCTTCAAGATCCTTTTTGTGGTATTAGCTCATGGGGACATCGGCGTGTGAGCCAGATTCCTCTAGAGACTTTCTGGATAAGGACTCCTGACTTTTCTGCTCATCTATGTAAGGACACCCCCAAAGCCAAGCCCATACTCACCCTTTCACATTGCAGAAGGAGGGCAAACAAAAGTAACTGTTCACAAAGACAGGAAGAGAACCAGGGACCCCATGAATTGCATGGGGGCTAATTATGGAGCCTCAGAAGGAAACCAAGAAACTCTTGCACTTCTTTCTTTGTTCCCAGCCAGGAGACACATCTTCGACATACCCCATAGAACTTCTCTTCTTCTTCAGAACAAATTCTGACAGCCCCAAGAAGTCCACAGAATAATACAGCCATAATGACCAATAGCCTGCCTTTGTTCTCCTGCTTGGACATTACTGATTCTCAAAATACTAGACCCTTCAGGCACATTTGGTTGGGCTGGCTTCCCTATGTTTCAGCCATCCCATTGTCTCCACACGCTTTCCACTGAATAGCAACCATCAAATTTTGACTGGCCTCCATTGTTCTGTCTGGGAAATACATCATGAAGACCTGACAAATTGCTCTAACAGCAAATTGCTCCACAATTTCATAGTTGTATATAGGTTCTCAAAGCATGACAGACAGCATCCTTTAATGTTAACCAGATTTTAGAAAGAACTCAACACAATAGGCATCACAATAGAAACTGCTGGATACTTCTGGGAATCCAAGAAATTAGGAGGGTTGCTCTTTGGTATAATTGAATTTGCTATTGTGAACACAACTGGAAGCTATATGGGAAGTGTCTCAATAGCTCCACTGGTGTTGAGCATCGCCTTACAGATGACACACTCAATTTAATTTGAACAAAAGGAACAGATCTGTCCTAGAGCTCAGCAGGGTATAACAAGATCATCGTCAAACAAGTCTCTTATCGTACCAGAGAACAGGACGCCATTTCACCATCATTTAAGGGACTGCATGATATCTAACAGGTGTGGAGGAAAGACGCATTATTAACCAACTCAGAACAGCCTCAACCGTATTACTTGACTATAGAGCTGTGCACCTTTAGCTTGATTCAGATTCAGGTAAGCTTTGCATTTTGGATGTATAAATATCCTTTAAGACAAGTTTGAGGAAATAAAAACTTTGGAATCCCTTTTCTGCCTCTCTGATGATAAACACTTCGATCGGGATAAAATAATTTTTGTTTGCTTCTGACTTAAGCATTATCATGTGCTGTCTGTGAACTTGGTAGATACAGATATGGACACTACTTTATTAGACCCTCTGAAGAGAAAAACTGAGCTGGAATTTGGGATAGCTCCATAGCACGCAGACAAACAAAAGATTGCCTATTAGAAGTTAAGCTTTAGAGCAAAAGCAAGCAGAGGCAATAACACTACAATGAAAGAAGTTTGTCGACAAAGAACACTAAGAAGCATTTAAACATACACAACATGAACAAAGCAGCTCAACCCCACATGACTTCTCCCAACCAAGACCATTTCTGTTCCAGTAAGATGAGTCTCTGGAGAAGGTAGAGAAGTCACAGAGAGGTAAATTAAGAACAGAAAGAATCTCCTTCCTCCATTTTTCATTATCAACAACTAGGTAATGTATTTTGAATGATTTGGGAGAGGGGGGAAGGGAGGAATAAATGAGAATGCATACGAGGCTCTGGCCAGACTGTTCCGCTCTGGTATGCACAAGTCAAGACTGAGCATTACAAGACTATCCAAAAGTACCTTGTTTATCTTGTGGCAATAGCTGTGAGCTGTTCTCTTGAACTTTACTCCTGGCACTGGCTTCCTGCTCTTCTGACCATTCCACATTATCCCTGTTGTGAAAAATAAGATGAATTGCTCAGCTGAGAATAGTAGGACAAAGAGAGAAAACAGAAAGGTCTAGACAGCCCTCCAAACTGACAGCTGTGGCGCTTTTCCACAATCTCTAATTCTAGCTCAGCAGCTGTACAACAGCTCTCAGCACATACGGTTCCTGGTTCTGAATGAACGGCACTCGTAGCATTACAAAAGATGTAACTGGAAGGGATCCCAAGAGACACCAAATCTATCCCCTAATCCTTTTCCCTATTTGATGCTCAGCCAAGTTCAGATTAAATAAACCCTTACTATTAAAACCAGAAGGGCACACAGCACAAACAGGCCTCCTTGGAGAGGCACTAGACTCTCACACCGTGAAAAGCACTTGTTCCTATACAGGTGAGACAGGCAGGCGCTCGCGTGCTTTCACTCAAACAGGTCATCAACATGGGCCCTCTGATCTAGCTGTCTTAGAAAACTACATTTTCTTTCTGAAGTTAGAACAAAAAAGGCAGTAGGGTTATTTGGAAGGTAAAGTGTTATATTATTATTAAATCCACTTATGAGAAAAATATGCAGGAAGCTTTAAAGCATTAAGAAATATTAATAACTTTAATGACTACACAACTGCGTATGCACATTTAAGTGATTCACTTGACCTTTTTTCATTAAAACAAGTGAATGAAAAGCAGAATACAAGGACCAAGAAGCACTATTCTGGCCTCAGGAGGAATTCGCCTTTTGATATTAACTCACAAAACAAAGACTTAAATGCCAAGTCTGTGAAAACTAGATTACTAGGAGTTTCTGCAGGAAAATTCTGTTGAGGATATGCTTTTGTAACATACCTTTGGTATAGCAGTCCCAAATGGACAAGCTGATACATGCACATATGACTTTATTACAAATTGAACATACCCAATTCTTAACAGGTTTTAGCAGCCAGAGATCAAAAGTGGACATATTTACTTCAAAAACGCAAAATACCTTCAGTTTCCAGCACATTCAAGAATTTGGGTGCTTAACGTATCTTAAAACACCTTTCTCCAATCAAAGGCCTCCTGTTCCAAGCCAACACCTACCATGATCTCACACTGTTATCGTGTGGCAGCAGATGGGTGAAGTCATCATTATTCAGTTTATATATTTGTCACTCACATACGCAGATGGAGAAGGGTTATAGATTCCCGAGAGCCAAAAATGTAACTTTATTAACTATAGCAATGAAACGACTGCTACAAAGCAAACCAACACATTCTCCTGAAACATCCAGGAAGCCTGAGAATCCCAACTGTTTCGGGCAGAGCCGAGCAAGGCTCAGGATCCCACCGTGAACCCAGGGCCCTCCTGCACCTCCAAGCCCTCCCGGCACCACCTGCCACGCTGGGCAGCGCCCCAGCCGGGGGTTGCCAGGCCCCCACCCCAGGCCCTCCTCGCTGCCTGGCCGCCAGCCCCACATCCGCAGCTCCCCCCCCCCGGCCTGCTCCGCGCCCCGGTGGGCGCCTCAGAAGCGAGCCCGGTCGCCGGGAGAGCAGCGCGAACAACGTCTGCAGCCGGGCCGCCGTGAAGCCCCGTTACACAGCGCCTCGCCACACGCTACCGGCAGGTCAGCGAGTCCGAACCCACCCTCGGGCACCCCCCGCTCCAACCCCCGCGGCCGGGCGCGGAGAGGCCCCGCAGGGCAGCAGCGCCCCGGCCGCCTCCCTGGGCCTTCCCGCGGCCGGGCAGCAAAGCAAGAGGCCGGGGGGGGTCTGGAGCGGGCACCGACGGGGCAAGGAGGCGGCGGCCGCCCTCACCAGGCGTTGTGCTGGAAGAGGCGGGCGGGGTCGGTGAGGAAGCGCCTCCCGACAAGCCGCCGCTCCGGCGCCTCCCTGGGCGCCGCCATGACGGGGCGAGCGGAACCGGAAGGAGCGCCCCGGGGCCCGACCCGAAAGAGGACTAGGCGGGAGGCTGGCGGTCATGTGGGGGAGGTGTTGTTATCACGTGGGGGGCGGTGGCGGGAAACGCGGGGAGTGGGAGTGGAAGTGGAAGTGGAGCGGAGCGGAGCGTGAGGAATGCTCAATTGCGAATTATCAATGGCTCAGACAGGAGGCGTTGTGAAGCACTTTTTATTACGGTCTTGGAAGACCAGGTGCCCCACCGGGTGGACATGCCTAGCAGCCATTGTGCAATGGTTTATATCTCTGGCTCCCGACCACAAATTCCCTCATTGGCTGAGCTACAGGGTCTACAGACTTCTCAAACCGCCTACCAACACGCCTCTTCATGTATGTGTTTATACATTGCATGTTCATGGAAATGAACCTTGGCTCTCTCCAGGGTGGGGAAGCTAATACACATGAGCTCATCACCCAAGTGTACTAAGATGAAAAGTTCAAAAGTTCAGGTTCCCCAAGCCTTTTGGTATCTCCATCCACCTAAAACTAGTTCCAAGTACTGGGTCATCACAGTTAACAAAAGGATCACTTATCTGCTGGTCACAGGCTAGGTGTGAATCGCTCCTCCCATATCAGACTTTTGCAAAAACAACACTCTTTCCCTTACAGTAGGAACAGAAACAGGAGTAGGAACGGGAACTACTGCAGGGCAATGACGGTAACAGTGGCAGGCTGAGGTGCCCGTGTTGAGGGGGGAAACAGTTGCCATGGCAATAAAAATGCTTTTCCTGGCTTTTATTTCGTATTTTCTACACCAGAGTGGGAGCAGGCCTGGCCCAAGCCGCTGTTGTCCAGAATTCACCGGCCGCTGGTGGTGTCCAGGCACAGCCTTCGCCTGGTGCCTGTCGCTGCTCCTGGTGCCGAGGCTGCCACCAGCTCCTGGCGGGTGTTCTGTGACCAGCAGTCGGTGGGGAAGGTGCAGTGGAACCGCTCGCTGTCCCTGCTGATCTTACACGGGCTGTGGTGCTGGCAGAGGGCTGGGCTGGGCTGGGCCAGCTGCCTGTGCCCTCCGGAAAGAGAGAGGGAAGTTGAAAGAGGAAGCAGAGGACCATGGTGGGAAAAATCATACAGCTTTGCCCCGTTGGGAGTACATGTCATGTGCATATATACAAGTCAAAAAGCACTTCAGTGGCATGTTACGATGCAGTGCTGGCAGTTTATAACCAATTCATGCTGACGATTAACAGTATAAAACTAAGTTTATAAAAGTAAGCTATTATTATACCTCTGGTTTAACTTTTCCTTGCGCTTATGTGGAAATTGCTCTTTAATACCCATGTCTAGTTAAAGCATTCACCAGACAGTTAATGTATAGGTTACATGAGTGACCAGTCACACTCAGTTCTGCTCTAATTGCAGTCCTGTATGACAAAGGGTAACATCTCTCCACACTTCACGCTCGTTTTTGCTTGTGTCTTGCCTGGTCTGTCTGCTGTCAGACAACACGGTGTGTTTGGGCGCTCGGCGTTGATGTCAGGGGAGCATCTCCACTTTCTGTGGTGAGCAGGAGTCCTGAGTGCAGCTGCCAGATTAAACAAAGCTCGGGTTTTCAGGCTTGTCCCTGCACCTCCTTTGATATTGTTACACAGCTGGAGGATCGCTTGTCTCTCACCTCCTGCACCTGGTTTCTCTCATGGAAGAAATGGCTCTCAAAGAAAGGGATTGGCTTATTCCTCTCTCACTACCTTGTGCAAGCCTTTTTTTGGCTTTGACAGTGTCATTGCATCTTGTTTAGAAATCAGTGGGAAGATGAGTACCTGGGCATAAGGGCTGCCTGAACAGGGCAAAGGGAAATAGAAACCAGAGTCACTGACTTGTGTGGCCAACAACCATCTGCCTCCTGCCTCTCGGTTTGCCTCCTCTCACTGGGGAAGGACTTGGTAAGTCCTGAATTCCTCACTCCTCTGAACCACGAGCCACAGTAGCTGTCATCTGGCATGTCCAACATTAGCACGCGTAGATCCACAAAGATACCGGTGCCTTGGCTGCAGTGTTGAGGTGCTTAATCTGCAGCAATCCATGGCATGGAGATGCCTGTAAGTGTTGGGGTAACCAGGAGCTCACTCACCACTAGGTGCTTTGTAGTGGGGTGTTTATGGAAGCCACCTTGCACAGACACCTTTGGAGTGTGATTCCTTTACCTGTACGAGCTCCTGGAGCAGAACCCACTACAACTGAGTTTGCTTCTTGCCCTGGGAGGGTTTTGAACTGGATGGACTCCCGAGGTCTGCTCCAGCTCTGTTTTCTGTGGTCCTCTTGGGAAAAGTTTGCTAACACAGGGGTGACCCTGAACCTTGGTGAACTCAATACCAGAAGCACCGATCCTCCACCTGTGGAGAAGGCCATGTGCCAGGAGGGAATGGAAGAAGCTGTGGCAAACACCCCAGTCAGGTTGTCCCCCTAGTAGCTCCAGTGACTCCCCTTTTGGACAGAGTGGGAGTGACAGTGTGCAAGCCTTACCTTTGGGGTGCTCCAGGTAAGCTGCTACCTCCCTTTTGTTCATGGCTGAGGTGTGGGCAGCGCTTACAAAGGAAGGCATAGAGTAAATCAGCTCTTTCTGAATTTTGTGGGGCTTCTTTCTGTGGCACTTGAGGAAGTCACCATCCATCCAGACTTTTTGGCCAGTGCAGTCCCTAAGCTTCTGCTGGTAGTAAGAAGAAGACAAAAGAGGGCGTCATTGTCCTATGAAACACAGCCCAAGGCCCCACTCAGCACCGGCTGCTGTGTACCGGAGGATCTGGAAAGACCAGGTATGTGAGGATATTTAAACTGCAAAGGTGTGTGATAGACACATGGTATCATTTACAGCAGTGTCTTTGTAGAGCAGGTGTCTGGGCTATGCAGATGCTTTTGGATGTTCAACTAGATATAAAACATTTTGGGAAATCTAGTCTTGGGGACTCCTGTGTTCTGTATATTTTGTTATGGAAGGCACAAATATCTCAGTGAAGTGGGGACTCCCTTCTCTATCTCACAGAGCTAAGCCAACTCACCTGATAATCTGAAACAGAGTTCTCCGGAGCAGAGCTGCCAACTCCACCAGCTTCAAGAAGACTGCAAAGAGAAGGGTTCCTCTGGCATTGATAAAATCGAAGCTGCATGACTCATTTTTCCCAGGACCTGGAGAGGAAGAGAGTGGTTAGAGCCGTGAGTGAGCCTTGTTTTACCTTCAGAGAACTCAAAGGGAGCAGAGATCCCAGCAGCCCCCAGGATGATCTGGACAAATTATGCCTTGGGGATCCATCCCCATTTTCTGCTGAGTGCTGGTCAGGTATCTAGCAGGGAGGACAATTCCTGCAGTTTATCATTAGCCAAAGAAGGTGAGATCTTCTACTCCTTCTGTGTCCCATCTTCTAAGAGAAGAGTTTGGCTTCTGCTCTTGCAGCCGGGAACACCTGGACTGAATGCTGGATTCCTGCCCCTGTCCCTGAGACTGGCAAGCATGACAGTGGGGGCCTTGATAGCAGAGCTAACCCTGAGCTGGCCTGTCATGGCCCATTGACCTATTGCTGTCTTGTCTGAGTAGAGCAGCCTTTGTTTCTTTGGGTCTCAGATGCTGATTTCTTGCTTGGTACCAGTTTGTCTGAAAATTGCGTAATTTGTCTGAAAATCTTACGTATTGCTCGGGCAAAACACTTCTTGTCAGTAATGATATCCAGAAAGTCAGAGAAATCCACTGTCCTGTCTCCTGCAGGCAAGTGGCATCTCTGTTAGCAGGGCAGTTTTTTGCTGTGTTGAAATGCTGGAGCAAGCACCTCAGAGCTGGCACTGCAGAAAGATTCACTCCTAAAATCTAAGAATAACAAAAAAGCTGTTAAAAGTTTTCACATGTAACAGGGCTGTGGATCCTGGTGCTTCAGCATGTATAAAGAGGTCTGAAAAACACAACATATTCATGAAGGATAGTCCTTGGTAAGTGGTAAAATGCAGCAGCCCAAGTACAGCCTCTGGCTCAGGAAACATTTCGGTACGGTATTGCCTCGAGCTGGGAAGGCACATGGAGGAGAATCGCTTTGCACAACCAGAAACTGGCTCAGAACAATCCACAGGGGAGTAACGCGTGGTCTGGTGCACTCACCGTCAGCATCTGCCCGCACCAGCTCATCGTATGCCTCTTGACTGGTTAAACTAATCCCCAGCTGCATAGTGGTCACCTCCAGGCTGTGATGTTTAATATTACTGTGCAGGTCTTTGGGGAATAAGTTGAAAGCATCGGAGAATGCTGCAGGCAGGGAGAGGACAGTGGATTAAACGGGCCGGAGGGAGGCACTGCCTATATTATATGAGTTTGGAAACAATGAGCTATAACCACTGGGGATTTGGGACTGGAGTTGAGGTGGGTTCTTCCTTACTGCCAGTGGTGAAGCATCTACCTCTAAACAGCTACTGAGGGTGCAAGGGAGGAGTTGGGGAATCTGGGCAGAGGAAGGGTGAGCCTGTATTTAATATGAGGTGCTGGGTGAGGTGGTTGGTTTAGTTCTAGCTCTGTGCTTTTGAGCTTCAGTTCTCTCACAGTCAAAAAGGGTATTGATTCTTCCTTCAATCACTGGGTCCCCAAATCCTTGGGACAGGGGATTGTCCCTTCCTTTGTGTACTCTTAGTTGTTGTCTCCGCAGGATCCTGCAACACCACAGGGCCAAGCTAAAGGTCAAACCACTCCTGGCCATGCTGGCAACATGCCTTCTGGGAGGGAAGCCCATAACAAGGTAATATGACCTTTCTGTTGTTTCTTTGTCATATCCTTTGCTACTTTGCAGTCAGTTCTCTGCTGAGGGATGTGTGAGAGGTCCCTGCCACACACACAGAGGCATAGAGATGGACAGACTGACAACAACGAGGTACACACTGACAAAAGACCAGCTGATGCACAGCTCTGGCTGATGGAGCTGGAGCAAGCAATGCAGGTGCCAGTCCTTCTCCCAGCCCTGCGGGCCAGACGGTGCTGGAAGGACTGCCAGAGAAGAGCTCACCACCCACCTC